CTTCCTTAGTGGCTTAGCCGACCTACCTTCGTTGAGGAGCTACAGACTTTAATAAACTGCCATAGCTTGCCGCTACGCCCCTGACGTTCTAACAGCTATCTAGTTCTACCAGCTAGAAGCCGGAGATGGTCTCAGTCAGCTAATCGGAAGGCTTATCCGCACATGATAGCGGCATTCTGACCTAAAGGTAAAGGGCGGGCCTTACTTCAGTAAATTAAAACGTTCGATAGAAGCCCCCCACGGAGCGCTAAGAAGCAAGGGATATTCACTCAGCAGAAAGGGCTGCTACGTTAAGAACCTCGCCTTATCTAAGTGTGCTAGGGCCATTAGCCCACTCACTCCCCTTTTCTTTTTATGTGCAGCCTCTCTCTTATTATACGATGCATCTGATTCACTGTCAAGGACCGTCTATTCACCAAAAGAAAGAGCTTAAACGGCTCAAAGACTAGGAGCGGATACGATCACAGTAAAGTAAGAGGGTTTCTTCCCCTTCATGTGCAGCTCCTTCTCTAAGACATTTGGCATCTGTCTTATCTGTCACCTCTTTTACCCTTTGAACAGCAACCCGAAACAGGCATACAAGCAGGTCAGCTGGTCACCTCACTTCTTTGTCTGCTCTGGTCAGGAACACAATCAAAGGAAGGGGCAAAAAGCTTTCCTACGGTCACTGTCTTTGAGTATGTATAGAATAGGAAAGCAGGCAATCGGGCTTGACTTTTTAGCCAGTTTATACAGTCCGACATCGTGAATTCACATAGAGTAACCTACTTCTCTTCCGTAGAAGACCAAAGACACCATTCTTTCTCCTTGTCCTTGAGTCGATTCATTCCGCGTTGGATGAGTCTAATTCGATGTCGAAATCGAATATATAAATTAAAAAGAAATTAGAATACGAAAATTCCTAAACGAAAGAGAAAAAATAGTTTACGAGCAAGCCAAATCCCTGTTAATGAGTCACCATTACTAATAAGTCAAGAATAATCCAAACCTTCCTTTCCTCTTCTTTTTCTACCCTTTCTTGATCTAGCTTTCTGACTAACTGAATAGACAAGAGACCTGGATCCCAATCCTTAGCGGTTCCTCTAGGTGAAATATTCCTATCCATCTCATGATCATCACTATGAAGAAGGAGCTCTCCCATAGCATAGGGTCTCTTTCGAGAACCTCTGTTCTAGTGAAAGCAAAGCCCATTTCCTCCATGGCTTATATAGAAAAGTATCTAAGCCTATTATATTAAAGGAGTCCTAATTAGACTCCTCTCTTCAAAAGCCAGAAGGAATCTCAAGGAATAAGCCCTCCGTAGGGCTTACCAATGTAACTGGCTTAGATGGCATTTTAACAGTTCAATGCTTCCCGCTTTAATAAGATATTTAAAATACCTTAGTCTTAGTAATCACTTTACAAAGGCCAAGAAAAGAAATCTCTCCCAGGTAAAGAGAACTCCTAAAAGGCTTACCGGTCAAACCCCCAAAAAGGGAGCTCGCATGCCCCTAGCTGCCCGGAAAGGAAAAAAAATACTCAATAGCAATTCGCTCAAAGGTAGAGTGACTCCATTCAAGGGACCGAAAGCAATAGAACGATTTTCTTACTTATCTCTTATCTTAGGGCAGCAGCAATCTTTAGATAGCTCTATAGGTATATCCTACTTGGGAGAGCTCTTTGAATACACCACCACGACGAAGGCCGGTGAGAGTGGGACTCTTATTGACACTGGGAATACTGCTACGAAAGCTGCTTCAAGAGAAGTAGGAGAATATCTAGAGATTGCTGGAAAGAGACTTCTAGCCAGGTTTGCTCACATTCCCGGAGCTCCTTCGTACGGCTTAAGGGATAGAAGAAGAGGTGTTTGCAAGAAAAGGTTTGACATTCTCATCCCCTGTTCACGAATCAGGAAAGCGTGCCTGGAACTGAGTACGGCTAACCGCTTCTTGCTAACAAAGTTGTCCAATTCAATGAATGTGTTTGCGTCCTCTCTTCTTAGTCTACGATTATCCCTGCTCTTCCTCAGATGTGGATATCTTTACCTGGTCGAAAGTAGAAATGTGTGATTGGCTTCGTCCCGGCCTTCAATAAATAGCAGTTGATTCGTGAATACCGTATTCCATAGTTGCCAAAGAGGCCTTTTCTTCCTCACAGCGCATTCTCTGCTCTAGCACACCGGAAACTCTCACAGTAAGAGTGGATAGGCTTACACCGGTGGCAGAGATCGAACTAAAGGCAAAAGTTGGAACCGGCTAACTAGATCCAATGAAGATAGTTTCTGTTGTTGACTTCCACCCTAGGGAAAGGCCTTAGAGTTAGCCTGCTCCTCTTGATTCATAAGCAGTCCACCATCTCCTTACTTCCGAAGACGACGGGTTCTTTCCTTCGCCTCTTCTCTAAGCATCCAGGGCACAGTCTCAAGGCTTTGAAGGAAAGGTTCACTTCGGCTTAGATTCCGATTCCGGGTCTTTCTTTTAAACCTCTTCCATGCCACCCTCTTGAAAAGCAGTTGTCCAAGTCAACGAAGAGGAAAGACGCTTTATATACCGACCTTACTAGTGCCTTTTTTCACCCTCCCCTCCCTGGCATCTTTGACAGATGTCCATACTCTCTCAAATCATGAACATGGACCCTATAGTTAAGTTATGGCGTACTTTGCTTTGCTGACCGTTCAAAGGACCATTGGAAATCCGATATCGAGATGTCTTTAAGCTGGGTGCTGTGAAATCGAATTGATGTGGCACTTTTTTTAATGGGTTGGGGTTCAGTGTCTCTCTCTATATAAAGGAGAATGTTCAAAGCGGGGTAGAGGAAAATCATCAGGCTCATGACCTGAAGACTTCATCATGTCCCCGCCTACTCACTGGATAGGATATGGTCTGTGTGCCGCGAGTGCTCCGTCTTTCTTTACTTAAAAAAGGAATTGATAGTCTTCAGGCTCAAGGCGATAGGCCAGTGACTATCTAGCCCCGGAGTCTTTCTCTCCGTCAAAGGAACTCTTTCTTGAACAAGCACGGCGCTATCAGGACAAAATCCTAGCAGAAGCAGAAAAAGAGGAGTGATTGTGGTCTTCGATTCGAATTCGATTTCGGTCTTAGTCTCAGTGTGGCTGATCATGCTCGGCAGACCAGCGTCCCATAATTCATGGTGATGGTGGGCGAAGATCTATAGTACTTTCCTTACTACCATGGTAGCATGAGCGTTCGCCTTTAGTAAGGAATAGCATTAGATCAAGGTAGCGCTATCTTATAGCATAAGATAACCAACCATTGTTTACCTTACCATTTAATACGTTTTTCCCAAAATTCCTTAGACTGAGATAGCATGGTGAGCCCTTATAACTAAAGATCTATAGCTGAGTATAGTTGAGCCCTTGGAAGCTTTATAGCATAGCCTTTTATAGAGGAGCTGCTCGCCTGGTCGCCGAAAGCCCTCGTCGGTAGCCATGGTTAAGCAAAGGCTTCTATGGCTCTAAGGTAGTAGACTTGGCCGCGCATGAGATGTTAGCCTTTAGACCTTCCCCATGGACCGGGGCTAAGGGCCTAATTATGTTCCGCGTCGTCTTAGTCTTATCGCCTGACTATTTTATTAGTATAGAAAGAACGGGAGCCGGGCTTCTTCTAAGGCGAACAGCCCTATAAATTACGTAATGTTATTAATTTTCGTATTCATGTTTTTTTCTGCATAAAAGCAGCGTCTATTGGGTCTTTGTGGTGGTTGATAGATTCTCTTAGAACCAGGGCTCCCGTTTTTCGTATTATTCTTTCTGAAAGGAAGTAGTGAGAAACCACGGAGTTCCGGTTAGCATAACGTCCGATCGAGACAATAAATTCATGAGTCATTTCTGGAGGACGTTATGGAGGAGGGAACCGGCTTGCGCTTCAGTAGCGCCACCCACAAAGGGATGGTTAGATCGAGATGGTTGGTGATTTGTTGAGGAGCCTGGTAAACGGCAAGCCGAGACGCTGGGAGGTGGCAACAGCTGAGTTTGCTTATCCAAACTCGGTGAATAGAAGCACTGAGAGATCGCCTGGAAGACCAGAGGAATGAAAGAGTTGGTTCCGCCCGGAATAAGATAAGAGGAAAACTGCTTGGATATCAATGACTTTGCTAGGGTCGACTGCACGCAGAGGTGCGTGAGGGGAAGCAAAGCAAGGATAGAAATGTAAAGCCACGCTGGAGAGCGCAGGAGTTTGAGGTTGGTGATGAAGTGTGGTCCTGAGAAAGGAAGACAGGCAGAGAGACGCGGTCAATTGCGGCAGCGAAGGATTTTGCCATTTGTATCAAGCTCAAACTTCCTTCTTGCATGCGTGCCCCCCCGGAAGCTAGAATAAGAGGTCAAAATGGATTGTTAGCGTACTCAATCAAACGGGTGATTTTCTCCCCGACTACGGATCCCACACTACCCGCTATAAAGTCAGCATCCATAACCCCAAATGCTACAGGAATACCTTTATTTGGCCATTTGCGATCGAAACAACCTAGGAAAGTTATTGCCTACATAACCTACTCTTCATACCAAGAGAGCCAGGTATCAGATCACTGTAGTTCGAAGACCCCTTTTGTTAAACCAGTTCCTGTACTCTTTTTGAATGAATTCCAGCTAGTAAAGTAATCTGGTAGAAAGGACCCACTCGCCCGCTCTCCCCTCGCCTAGAAGCTTCCAAACCCCAGGCATTGGCCATTAAAAAAGGACCAGCGCCGTTTATTTCACGGTAAAGGCAGGCCACACAAGCGACGTAGGTCTTCATTAGTGAAATGCTTATAGAATTTCCTATAAATGGAGGACTGGCGTTGGTGTTGAGTTAACTCTTGCAGAAAGGAATTCAGCTTCCTCTCTATGTGCTTGCGCTGAACAGCATCCCCGGGATTATCTACGGAGGCAACCTTCGCTTGAATGAAGGCGTCGGCTTCCTGCCTTATATTTTCATATGGCGAGACTTCCATTATTCTCGCGATATTCGGTTCCTGAATCATTAGATTGAAAAGTTTCTAATAGGCCCTTATTTTCCAAGACC